TTGTCTAGGTTTGTCCGGACACAAATAGCAGGACAATTCCAACATGGGCAACTACTGCTCTGCCAATCTACTTTTGATCATCAGCGAAGTGATGGAAGGTGTCATCAAGCAGCACTTCCTCAGCAACCACCTGCTCACTGAAGCCCAGCTTAGGATCCATCAGGTCATTCACTTCACCTGACTTCATTGGAGCCTTCATTCAAACATGGACAAAAGAGCTGAATTCCAGAGGACAGAATGATAGCCCTTGACATTAAGACTGCATTCGACCGAGTGTGGCACCCAGGAGACTAAGCAAAACTGGATTCAATGGGTATCAGGGGCAAAGTCTCTGCTGGTTGGGCGTCACACCTAACACATAGGAACATGGCTGGGATTGTTGGAGGTCAGTCATCTCAGCTCCAAGGCATCTCGGCAGAGTTCTTCAGATTGTGTCCTCGGTCCAACCATCTTTAGCTGCTTCATTAATGACCTTCCCTCCATCATAAGGTCAGAAGGGGGGATGTTCGCTGATGATTGCACAATGTTCAGCACCATTCATGACTCCTCAGACACTGAAACAGTTCATGTTCTCACGGAACAAGATCTGGACAATATCCGGGCTTGGGCTGACAAGTGGCAAGTAACATTTGCACCACACAAATGCCAGGCAATGACCATCACCAATAACAGACAATCCAACCACTTCCCCTTGATATTCAATGGTGTCACCATCACTGAATCTCTCACTATCAACACCTTTGGGGATACCATTAACCACTAACTCAACTGGACTCGCCATATAAATACAACAGCAGCTCAGAGGTTAGGAATGCTGCAGCGAGTAACTTAACCTCTGACTCTCCAAAGCCTGTCCATCATTTAAAATGCTCAAGTCAAGAGTGTGATGGAATACTCCACACTTGCCTGGATGAGTGCAGCTCTAAAAATAATCAAGTAGCTTGACACCATCCAGGGCAAAACATCCCTCTTGATTGGCACCACATCCACAAACATCCACTCCCTCATTTACTGATGCTCAGAAGCAGCAGTGTGTGCGAATTACAAGATGCACTGCAGGAATTCATCAAAGATCCTCAGACAGCACCTTCCAGAGTCGTGACTATTTCTATCAAGTAGAACAAGGGCAGCAGATACATGGGAACAGCACCACTTGGAAGTTCCCCTCCAAGCTACTCACCATCCTGACTTGGAAATATATCATTCCTTCACTATTGCTGAGTCAAAGTCTGAGCATTCCCTCTCTATGGGCAATTTGAGTTGACCTAGAGCACACGGGTGGCAGAGATTCAAGAAGATAACTCACCCCCACCTTTTTAAGGGCAACCTGTCACTAGTAATAAATCCAAACACTCCCTGTGACACCCACATCCCACGAGTGAATAAAAAAACACAGCGTAGGTGACTGCACAAAATTTAAAGGGATATTGATTGAGTAAATAGGCAAAACTATGGCAGATGGAGCTCAATGTCATCAAATGAGTTGTTCTTGATTCCGGACTGAACAGGTATAAATCAGGGCACTTTCTCAATGATATGAAGCTAAATGCAGAGGATGGCCAAAGAGACTTGGGGGCTAGGTGCGTAGATCTTTATTATACCACAAACAGGTGCAGGGAATAATCAAGAAAGCCGATGGAATGCTGGCCTTTATATCTTGAGGACCAGAGTACAAGAATGCATAATTTATAGTGCAGTTATGCAAAACACTGGATGGACCCCACTGGGAATACTGTGAGCATTCAGCCCATCGAGACTGCTCTGCCATTCAATAAGATCATGATTGATCTGATAATCCCCAACTCCATTTTCCTTCATTTTCCCTATAACTCTTGATTCCCTTAGCAATTTGTGGAAAGCTGGGGAAGAATTGCTGGGTCCCTTGCTGAGATATCTGTATCATTGCCAGCCACAAGTGAGATGCCTGCGTTTTGGTTAATGTGGTGTCATTATTTCAGGAGGGCTGTAAGGAAAAGCCAGGGAAACCAACCAGTGGGCCTGGAGTTGGTGCTGGGTACGTTGTTGGAGGAGATTCCGAGGGATAGGATTTACACGCACTTGGAAAGGCAAGGACTAATTAGGGATGGTCAACACTGTGTGCGCATGGGAAATCGTGTCTAACAAGCTTGATTGAGTGTTTGAAAGTGGTGACAAAGATAACTGATGAAGGCAGAGCAGCAGATGTTGTCCAAATGGGCTTTGTCCAAATCGTTTGACGAGGTACCGCATGGTAGACTGGTTAGGATGATTAGATCTCATGGGACCTGGGGCAGGGAGGTGGGCGGGGGGGGGGGGGGGGGGTGCAAGACAATTGGAACAAAATTTGCTTGAAGGTGGGAGAGAGAGGGTGTTGGTAGAGGTTGCTTTTCAGACTGGGGGCCTGTGACAAGTGGTGTGTCACAAGGATAGGTACTGGGTCCACTGCTTTTTGTCATTTATATCAATGGTTTAGATGTGAGTATGAGAGGTATGGTTAGTGATTTTGCAGATGACACCAAAATAGGTGGTGTAGTGGACAGTGAAGAAGGTTACCTCAAGAGTACCACAGGACCTTGATGAGATGGGCCAAGGAGTGGCAGATGGAGTTTAATTTAGACAAATGTGAGGTGTTGCATTTTGATCAGGCAAACCAGAGCAGGACTTATGTACCTTATGGTAGGGTCCTGGGGTGTGCTGCTGATAAAAGAGACCTCGAGGTGCAGGTGCATAATTCCTTGATAGTGGAGCTGCAGGTAGGCAGGATGATGAAGAAGACAATTGGCATGCTTACCTTTATACAGTGCATTGATTATAGGAGTTGGGATTTCATGCTGCAGCTGCACAGGACATTCGTGAGGCCACTTTTAGAATACTGCATACGAACCTGGTTGTTTTTCTGTAGGAAGGATGCTATTAAACTTGACAGGGTGCAGAAAAGGTTTAAAAGAATGTTACAGGACTGGAGAGTTTGAGTGATAGGGAGAGGCTGAATAGGCTGGGGCTTTTTTGCCATGCAGTGTCGGAGGCTGAGGGGTGTCTTTATAGAGGTTTATAAAATCATGAGGGGCATGGATGAGATGATTAGCCAAGGTCTTTTTCCTAGGGTCAGGGAATCCAAAATTGGATGGCAAAGGTTTAATGGCAACTGCTCTGCCCAGGACCATAAGGAACTACAGAGTTGTTAACAATGCCCAGTCCATAATGCAAGCCAGCCTTCCAACCACTGACTTCACCTACATTTCTTGCTGCATTAGGAATATAATCAAAGACCAGTCCCATCCGGGTTATAAATTGCTTCTAACCACTTCCGTCAGGCAGAAAATATGGTAGCTTAAAAACATGTACCAAGAAACTCAAGAACAGCTTCTTTCCTGCTCTTATTAGACTTCTGAATGGACCTCACAAGTGTTAAATTTAATGCTGATCTCATTCATCGGGCACCTTCACTGCAGCCGTAGCATTGTATTCTTTGCTCTGTTCTGTTACCATGATGCAGTTTGTATGGTATGATCTGCCTGTACTGCATGCAAAATGGAATTTTTCACTGTACCTAGGTACAGGAGACAATAAATCCAATCAGAAAAAGGTGAGAGGTGAAAGATTTAAAAAGGACCTGAAGGGCAACTTTTTCATGCAGAGGGTGTGCATGCATGGAATGAGCTCCCAGATGAAATTTTGGAAGCGGGTACAATTACAACATTTAAAAGGCATCTGGATGGGTACATGAATGGGAGGGATTTGGAGAGATATGGACCAGGGGCTGGCAAATGGGACTAGGTAAGATTGGAATGTCTGGTCAGAGTTGGGCCAAAGGGTCTGTTTCTGTGCTGAATGACTCTATGACTCTATAATTAAAAATCTACTTCATCCATGAATATACTTAATGATACAGCCTCAATAGACCTTTGTGGTACAGAATTCCACAGATCTATTACCCTCTGAGAGAAGATATTGCCTCTCATCTCTGTCTTAAATGTTCAAACCACTTATTCTGAGATTGTGTTCTCTGGCCCCAGTTCTCCCACAAGGGCAAACAACCTTTCCACATTTACCCTGTCAACTCCCCTACGAATCTTGTATATTTTAATAATGTCATCTCTTATTCTTATACTTATCCAATAATAATAGGCCCAATATAATCAAATTATAAGTTGATTCGTATCCAGTGACCCTTTTCTGCACAACCTCCAATACCAGTATATCTTACCTTTGATAAGGGGCCCAAAAGCAAATCATGTACTTCTTCTCACAAGACGTGCCAAAGTGATGGTTTCAGTATTGCAAGACATTCAACTCCTAGATTACAGCAAGTGCTGCAGTAAAAATTAGTGATGGTTTGCACGACATGAAACCTGTCAGATTTAAAGTAGGCTCCACATTTCTGAAGGAGTCTTGATGGAAATCTGACAAAAATGTGAATCTCTGTCTTCACATGTAAGGGAAGGAGCAGATGACCGGTTGAACAAGCTGTTTGTGACTGCCAGTCCTTGGAAAATCTTTGAGCCTTGGTGATTAACTTGTGAAGCTAAGGAATTCCCTTGTCTTGGCAATTTCGGTCTCGACTGCTTTGTACTTGTACACGAAGTGTCTAAAAGGGTGTAGTATAGAAGAGGTCCTTGAGCCCATCAAATCTGCGCTGCTAAAATATACACTACCACCTGAACTACTCCCATTTTCCCATAGCTTTGGTAATGGTTACAGATTCAATACTACCTTTCAAAAGAAGGGCTGGACAAATATGTGGGGCGGGGGAGAGAACAATGTCAGACTATCGGAGCAGAGCAGGAAAGTGACATTAGTAGGACAGCTGCTTTAAAGATAGCACAGGCTACATAGGTCAATGGCCTCAACCTGAGCTCTCTAATACTCCCACTGTGAAGAAGGCGAGCAGGATGATGAGAAGTCTGAAAGATTTTTGGGCAGTATTTGGACAGCACCTGGAAAGTGTGTATGATCATGGGGAGTCTTGAGTTGATTTGTTTGATTCACTGAATCAGCACCATCATTCTGTTTCCTTCCAGTATCAGAATATGAACAGTAATAGAGGAGCTGTGTTGCGAAGAATGATTGACATTGCCAATACAGTCGACCTGGTGAGTACAGAGACTGTCTTCACAGTGATGACAGGTTCACCTTTCTCTGCCATTTCTCTGTTTAAGCCTCTCCATGCTACCAGACAGGTCAGATGACAATGACATGAAATATAGCATTGTGGTAACTCACAATACTTGAAATTTCTGGCACAGATCTTCCCTCTCCCTGCTTTCAGCTTGACAGAAAATTGCTGAGATTTCAGGGGATGCAGACTTCATTGACTGGGTCCAATGTTTCTCCCTTCCACCTGTTATATGCTCAAAGGCTTTCTCTCTGTCTCTCTATCTCTCTAATTAGCTGTGCTCTTACCTATATCTCTGCAAGCTGTCAATTTCTGCAAGCTGTCCTTCCCTCCTGCTGTGAGCCTTCTTCCTTTCCTCTTGTGTGATTCATCCTCCTTCTTCTGCTCCCATCATTAATAGATTCTGAAGTCTCAGTCAGTTAGACATTTCTTAAATCTAAATTGTGTTGGTTTATAAAGGACAAAGAACAATACAGCACAAGAACAGGCTCTTCAGCCCACCAAGCCTGTGCTGACACATTCTGGTCTTCAGTACTAAAACTGTCCTCACTTACAGGATCCGTATCTCTCTATTCCACGTCCAGGTGCTTTTTGAATGCTGCTACTGTTTCTGCTTCCACCACCTCCTCTGGCAGTATGTTCCAAGCACTTATCACCCTTTGTGAAAAATATGCCTTGCACATCTCTTTTAAACTTCCCCCTGCACCTTGAACCTGTGGCCCCTAGTAACTGACCCCTCAAATCTGGGAAAAAGACTCATACTTTCCACTCTAACCATACCATTCACAATCTTATAATCTTCAATCAGGTCGTCCCTCACCTCCTGCGTTCCAGTGAAAACAAACCCAGTCTATCCAATCTTTCTTCATAGCTAAAATCCCCATTAGCAGGCAACATCCTGGTAAAAACCAAAAGAACAGGAACAAAAACAAAGTTGCTGGAAAAGCTCAGCAGGTCTGGCAGCATCTGTTCTGAGGAAGGGTCACCGGACGCAAAATGTTAACCCTGTTTTTTCTTTTACAGATGCTGCCAGACGTGTTGAGCTTTTCCAGCGACTTTGTTTTTGTAACATCCTGGTAAACCTTTTCTGTATCTTCTCCAAATATCCAGATCCTTCTGGTAGTTTGGTGACCAGAACTCTATGCAATATTCCAAGTGTAGCCTAACTAAAGTTCTATAAAGCTGCAACATTACTTACTTATCTTTATGCTCAGTGCCCCTTCCAATGAAAGCAAGCATGCCATAGGCCTTTTTTACTACCTTATCTACCTGCGCTGCCACCTTCAGTGATCTAGGGACCTGCACACCCAGATCCATCTGCATATCAATGCTCCTAAGGGTTTTGCCATTCACCGTAAAATTTCCTCCTGTGCTTGACCTTCCAAAATGCATCACCTCACATTTGTCTAGATTAAACTCCATCTGCCATTTTTCTGCCCATGCCTCTAACTGATCTATATCTTGCTGCATCCTCTGACAACCCTCCTCACTTTCCATACCTCCACCAACTTTGTATCATCCATGAACTTACTAATTAGATCAGCTACATTTTACTCCAAATCATTTATGTAGACCATGAACAGCCGAGGTCCCAGCGCTGATCCGTGGAACACTAGTCACAACCCTCCATTCTGAAAAGCATCCTTTCACTGCTATCCTCTGTCTCCTATTATTAAGCCAGTTCTGTATTCATCTTGCCAGCTCATCCCTGATACCAATGAACTCCACCTTTTGTACCAGCTTGCCATGAAGGGCCTTGACAAAGGCTTTACTGAAGTCCATGTTGACAACATCAATCGTTTTTCCCTCATTAATCATCTTCACCACCTCCTCAAAATACTTGATCAACTTAGTGAGGCATGACCTCCCCCGCACAAAACCATGTCGTCTATCACTAATAAGTCCATTTGGTTCTAAATGCATATAGATCTTGTCCCTGAGAATCTTTTCTAATAATTTCACAACCACCAATGTGAAGTTTACAGGTTGGTAATTTCACATTGGTTATTCTCCAGTCCTCTGGGACCTCACTTGTGGCCAAAGAGGATTACAAGGATGTCTGTCAATGATCCAGCTATTTGTTCTCTTGTCCCCCTCAATATTCTGGGAGGATCCCATCAGGATCTGGGGACTTATCTACCTTAATGCTTTTCATGATGCTCAACACCTCTTCCTTTTTAATAGCTTGGCTTAGAAATTCAACACTGCCTTCCCTGAGATTGTGCTCCACCATTATGCTGTGTCAGAAGAGGGACACAGCACTGCAACATACATACCATGCAATCTTCAGCTGTTGTTTCTCATTCAATGTTACTCCAACCATTTTTGCACTAAGTGGAAAGGATCTGTTCTTGATCTTCTAATGTTAATCTTGCTTTGTGCACCTGCTGTGTAGCCATAATGATGTGTATGTCCTTGTTTGTTATGATCTGCCTGTACTGCTCGCAAAACAAAACTTCTCACTGCACTTAGGGACATGTGACTACAATAAATCAAATCAAATCAAATCATGGAGTGTGACTCCAGGCATATTCAAGCTTTCAATGTGTAATGGGATCATCATGAAACAAGGAAAGATTTGCAGGGCAATGAACTGTATGAGAATATTGGAGATATAGTTAGTAAGTTTGCAGGTGACACCAAAATAGATGGTGCAGTGGACGGTGAAGAAGATTATCTCAGAGTATAGCAGGACCTTGATTGGATAGGCTGAGAAGTGGTAGACAGAGTTTAATTTAGATAAATGTGAGGTGTTGCATTTTGGTAAAGCAAATCAGGGCAGGACTTTGGGAGGGCTTTGGAGAGACCTCGGGGTTCAGGTGCACAGTTCCTTGAAAGTGGAATCACAGGGAGACAGAGTGGTGAAGAAGGTTCCTGGGACACTTGCATTCATTGTCATAACATGAGTAAAGGATGTGGGATGTCAGGTTGTGGTTGTACAGGACATTGGTGAGGCCACATTTGGAATACTGCATACGATTCTGGTCATCCTTCTTTAGGAAGGATGTTGTTAAACTTGAGAGGGTGCAGAAAAGATTTACAAGGATTTTGCTGGAAATGGGTTTGAACCATAGGGACAGGCTGAATCAGCTGGGGCATTTTTCCCTGGAGCATCGGAGGCTGAGGGGTGACCTTGTAGAGGTTTATAAAATCATGAGGGGCATGAATAGGGTGAATAGACAAGGTATTTTCTGGAAGACATAGGTTTAAGGTGAGAAGGTAAAGATTTAAGGACTTGAAGGGTAATGTTTTCACACAGAGGATGGTTCGTGTTTGGAATGAGCTGCCAAAGGAAGTGGTGAAGGCGAGTAAAATTAGAACATCTGAAAGGTATCTGGATGGGTTTATGAATAGAGATAGCTTATAGGGACATGGGTAAAATGCTGGCAAATGGGACCATGTCAGATTGGGATGTCTGGTTGGCACAGATGAGTTGGACCGAAGTTTCAGGTCAATTCAATCCATTTAATGACTGACGCTTCTCCCTTTTCCAGTATTACAGACCATTCAACATTCGCATTGCTCTGATTGGAGTGGAGGTGTGGACTGTAGACCAAATCCCCGTTAGTACGAAATCAACACCAACATTGAATCACTTCCTGAAGTGGAGGCATGAAACACTTCTACCACGACTGTACAATGACAATGCCCAACTCCTCATGTGAGTACTTCACACCCAACACTACACCAACAAAGCAACTCAAAATCTACATGGATCCTACTATGCTGACCCATAGCTTTGAACATGATGATATTTCAAGAGCTCATCCAGATACTTTTTAAAATTGTGAGTCTTCCCTCCCAGCAGAGCAAACCCTCTACGTTAAAAAAATCTTTCCTCAAATCCCCTCTAAACCTCTTGCCTTTCACCTTAAATTTCTGTCCTCCTCATTATGACTCTTCAGCAAAAGGGAACACTATTTCCTCTCCACCCTGTCCATGCCCCTCATAATCATATGCATCTCTATCAGATCCCCCCTCCACCTTCTCTGCTCCAAAGAAAACAACCTGAGCTTATCCAACCTCTCTTCATTGCTGAAATGCTACATCCCAGGCAACATCCTGGTGAATCTCTTCTGCACCCCCACGAGTGCAGTCATATCCTTCCGATCATGTGGGAACCAGAAATGCAAACAGTATTCCAGCTGTGGCCTCACCAAAATTCTGCACAGCTCCAACATAACCATTCTATTATAACTGATCTCTAAACTCTGACACGTAGGTCTCGGCTCCCCTCTCTCTAACTGGATCCTCGATTTCCTGACCTATAGACCACAATCAGTAAGCATAGGCGATAACACTTCCTCCACCATAATCCTCAACATCAGTGCCCTGCAAGGCTGTGCACTCAGCCCCCCTACTACGCTCCTTATACACTCATGACTGTGGGGCCAAATCCCACCCCAACTCCATTTACAAGTTTGCTGACAGCACCACCATTATAGGTTGGATCTCGAACAACAACAAGGCAGAATACAGGAAAGAGATTGAGTGCTTAACAGCATGGTGTAAAAACAACAATTTCTAATTGGTGAGGTCTATTCTGGAATACTGTGTCCAGTTCTGGTCGCCCAGTTATAGAAATTATATCATTAAGCCAGAGATGGTTCAGTGATTTACCAGGTTTGAGTTATAGAGAAGCTGAAATGTTTTTCACAAGCGTAGGAGGTTGGCAGGTTACATTAGAGAGGTTTATAAAATCATGAGGGCTTTACATGGGGTTAATGGTAGGTGACTTTTATCTAGGATTTCAAGTTGAGAGGAGAGAGATTTTAAAAGGACATGAAGGGCAATTTTTTTAAACAGAGATGATTCATGTGTGTCATAGATCCTACAGAATGGAGACAGGCCCTTTGGCCGAAATGGTCCATGCCGACCAAAATGTCCATCCATGCTAAGCCCATTTCCCTGCAGTTGGCCCATATCCTTCTAAACCTTTCCTATCCATTTATTTGTCAAAATGCCTTTTAAATGTTGTTAATGTACCCACTTCAACCAGTTCCACTGGCAGCTCATTCCATATGTGTACCACCCTCTGTGTAAACAAGTTGCCCCTCAGGTTCTCATGTATTCTTTCTCCTCTTACCTTAAACTGATGCCATCTAGTCCTTGATACCTCAATCCTGGGAAAAAGACTGAGTGCATTCACCCTATCCATGCCTCTCATGATCTTATACACTTCTATAAGATTTCCCCTCTGTCTCTTACGCTCTAAACAAAAAAATCCTAGCTTGTCCAACATCTCTCTATAAGTCAGTCCCTTGAGTCCTGGCAACATCCTTGTAAATTTCTTCTGCACTCTTTCTAGTTTAATAACATCCTTCCTATAGCACAGTGACCAAAACCGAACACAATACTCCAAGTGCAGCCTCACCAATGTCATGTACAACTACATCATAAACTTCCCAACTTCTACCCTCAATACCCTGACTGATGAAGGACTGTCTGCCAAAAGCCTTCTTCACTGCCCTGTCTACCTGTGACTCCACTTTCAGAGAACTGTACACCTGAACTCCAAGGTCCCTCTCTTCCACTACACTCCTTAAGACCCTACCATTCACTATGAAACTCCTACCTGGATTTGACTTTCCAAAATGCAACACCTCACACTTATCTATATTAAACTCCATGAGCCATTTCTCTGCCCACTTCCCCAGCAGATCAAGATCCTGCTGCAATTTCTGATAACCTTCCTCACAGTCCACGATACCACCTATTTTAGTGTCACCTGCAAACTTACTAATCATGCCTTATACATTCTCATCTAAATCACTGGTATAGATAACAAACAGCAATGGGCCCAGCACCGACCCCTGAGGCACACCCCTAGTCAAAGGCTTCCAGTCTGACAAGCATCCTTCCACAATTACCCTCTGCTTCCTACCATCAAGCCAACTGTGTACCCAATTTGCCAGCTGTCCCTGGATTACATGTGATCTAACCTTCCAGAGCAGCCTACCGTGTGGAACCTTATCAAAAGCCTTACTGAAATCCATATAGACTACGTCTATCATCCTGCCCTCATCAACCTTCCTGGTCACTTCATCAAAGAATATGGAATGAACTTCCTGAGGAAGTGGTAGATGTGTGCACAGTTACAAAGTTTAAAAGACATTTAGATAAGCACATGATTTGGAAAGGATTGAAGGGGTATGGGCCAGGAGCAGGCAGTTGGGACTAGCTTAGTTTGGGATTATGTTTGGCATGGGCTGGTTGGACCAAAGGGTCTCTTTCCATGCTCCATGACTCTATGACTCTATGACTGTCACTCCATCAATGTCAGCAAAATGAAGGAGCTGATCACTGGCTTCAGGAAGTGGAATGGAGGGTATGCCCATGTCTGCATCTAATGTGCTGAGTTAGAAATTGTCGAGAGTGTCAAGGTCCTGGGAATGATGATCACCAACAATCTAACCTGGTCCATCCATGTCGACGCGACGGTCGACAAAGCACAACAACGTCTCTACTTCCTCAGGAGGCAAAGGAAATTCAGCATGTCTACAATGACTCTTACCAGTTTTATAGATGCACCACAGAAAACATCCTATCACAACTGCCCTTCCCAAGACTGCAAGAAACCGCAGAGTTGTGTCCCAGTTCATCACACAAATCAGCCTTCCATCCATTGTCTCCATCTACTCTTTCCAATGTCTCAGTAAAGCAAATAATCAAAGACCACACGCGCCCCAGTTATACTCTCTTCCACACTCTTATATCGGGCAGAAAATATGAAAGTTTGAACATACATACAAACAGCTTCTTCCCCGCTGTTATCAGATGTTTGAATGGACCACTCAAATGTTAATGTTGATCTCTCTCTCTAACCTTCTCTGTATTTCTGTATTCTGCACACTATTATAGAAGCAGAGAGTCCTACGGCACAAGAGACAGGCCCTTTGGTCCAATCTGGTCCATGCTGACAGGTTTTCATTTTACAGAATGTGCTCAATGTAAAAGTTTACAGCTTTGAGTTTAGTTTCATTTTAATGGTGCGAATGGTAACCCCATTTCCCTGCACTTGGCCTGTATCCTTCTAAATCTTTCTTATCCATGTATTTGTCCAAAGATCTTTTAAATGTTAGTGTACCCGCCTAATACACTTCCACTGGCAGCTCATTCCATATGTATACCACCCTCTGTGTAAAAATGTTGCCCCTCAGGTTCCCATTTATTCTTTCGCCTCTTCGCCTCTTTCACACTGTCTACAGGAATAGTGCCAGAAGACTGGAGGATAGCAAATGTTGTCCCGTTGTTCAAGAAGGGGAGCAGAGACAATCCTGGTAATTATAGACCAGTGAGCCTTACTTCGGCTGTGGGTAAAGTGTTGGAAAGGATTATAAGAGATAGGATTTATAATCATCGAGAAAGGAATAATTTGATTAGGGATAGTCAACACGGTTTTGTGAAGGGTAGGTCGTGCCTCACAAACCTTATTGAGTTCTTTGAGAAGGTGACCAAACAGGTGGATGAGGGTAAAGCGGTTGATGTGGTGTATATGGATTTCAGTAAAGCGTTTGATAAAGTTCCCCATGGTAGGCTATTGCAGAAAATATAGAGGCATGGGATTGAGAGTGATTTAGTGGTTTGGATCAGAAATTGGCTAACTGTAAGAAGACAGTGGGTGGTGGTTGATGGGAAATATTCATCCTGGAGTTCAGTTACTAGTGGTGTACCTCAAGGATCTGTTTTGGGGCCACTGCTGTTTGTCATTTTTATAAATGACCTGGATGAGGGCGTAGAAGGATGGGTTAGTAAATTTGCGGATGACACCAAAGTTGGTGGAGTTGCGGATAGTGCGGAAGGATGTTGCAGTGCGGAAGGATGTTGCAGGTTACAGAGGGACATAGATAAGCTGCAGAGCTGAGCTGAGAGGTGGCAAATGGAGTTTAATGTGGAAAAGTGTGAGGTGATTCACTTTGGAAGGAGTGACAGGAATACAGAATACTGGGCTAATGGTAAGATTCTTGGTAGCGTGGAAGAGCAGAGAAATCTCGGTGTCCATGTGCATAGATCACTGAAAGTTGCCACTCAGGTTGACAGGGTTGTTAAGAAGTCGTAAGGTGTGTTAGGTTTTATTGGTAGAGGGATTGAATTTCAGAGTCATGAGGTCATGTTGCAGCTGTACAAAACTCTGGTGCGGCCGCACTTGGAGTATTGCATACAGTTCTGGTTACCGCATTATAGGAAGGATGTGGAAGCATTGGAAAGGGTGCAGAGGAGATTTACCAGGATGTTGCCTGGTATGGAGGGAAGGTCTTATGAGGAAAGGCTGAGGGACTTGAGGCTGTTTTCGTTAGAAGAAGAAGGTTAAGGGGTGACTTAATAGAGACATACAAGATAATCAGAGGATTAGATAGGGTGAACAGTGAGAGCCTTTTTCCTCGGATGGTGATGTCTAGCACGAGGGGACATAGCTTTAAATTGAGGGGTGATAGATATAGGACAGATGTCAGAGGTAGGTTCTTTACTCAGAGAGTAGTAAGGGCGTGGAATGCCCTGCCTGCAACAGTAGTGGACTCGCCAACTTTAAGGGCATTTAAATGGTCATTGGATAAACATATGGATGATAATGGAATAGTGTAGGTTAGATGGGCTTCAGATTGGTTTCACAGGTCAGCGCAACATCGAGGGCATCGAATGTTTTCTTTGATAAGGCTGAGC